TCATTTTCTGCATGGCAGCACTTAGCGCAGACGTTGGGGGCTGGATCCCACTGGGGGTGGGCGGTCCTGGACGCGGAAGTTGCTGAGCAGCATCCTTGGCCTCTGTCCCCTGCAGCCATAGTGCCTCCAAGTCCTGTCCCTGGACACCGCCAGCCACCGCCAGGGCCCCCTGGGGCAGGATCCCTCAGCTGAGAACCACGGGGAGTGTAACCTGATGCCTTACCCCCTGCACTTTCTGTAAACTGATCGCCAGACCTGGAGGTGGATTTCGTAAGCCACTTCCTGTTGCTTCACCGCCCAGCGCTCTTCTCTGCAGGGAGAGATAAGGGCATTCCGGCGGCGGTGGTGAGGTTCCTCCTCACCCTCTTCCTGTCCTAGTGGAAAGGGGTCTTGTGCCAGCATTTGTGCCTCCTCCCTCAGGCGCTGCCTGTACCCCTGCCCCTTGCCTTCCCCCTTCCAGTTTTTTCCCACTGCATCACCATCTGTATGACACTGCAGGGTGCAGGAGGCCTCCTGACTCACCCCTGGGCTTTTGGTTAAAGCTCAGCCCCACCAGTGACCTTGTCCCTAGGAACTCCCCATGTCAGCCGGGGTTCGCCTAATGGGAGGGGTGTTCTGCCACTTGGAGCCTGAAAGGGCTAGCGTGGGGGTTGGGCCTCTGGAGGGCCCAGACTCCCTCCATGCCTACTGCACTGGGTAGCTCAGCCCACGGGGAGGGCGTGACCTCTGAGCCTGTGGTGGGGTCAGAGGGTCTGCAGAGGTTAGGGGCATACCATGTAAAGTTGCTGGTCTGAAGCACAGCCTATGCGGGTACCGAGCCAACAGGCATGCTGTGCCCTGGGGACTGTCACAGGAAGAAGTTACCTTACCCTGTGACTTGCTAATTGCAGTCTGGAGGCCAGACCAAAAGCTGCCAAGCTGACAGAGAAACAGGCAGTGCCCAGGCTAGCCTGTCAGACTCTCCTGGCCCTTGGATATTCATCCTGTGTAGATGAGGTAATAGGGTGGTAGGGCTCCCCTGACAGGTGGTGCACCATTGATCTTGTGAGCTGTCGTCCCCTGCAGGAAGCAGCCAGCCAGAAGGCGGTGAGGGCTGCAGTCACATGGCCAGCCTGTGCACCACCAGCGTGTACTGACTACTGGGTCCAGACCAGGCCAGGCAGGTATAGAGGGTGGCCGCTGGTCTTCCCATGCCTGGGGGAAACCCTGCGGGCTGCCTGCAGGCCAGCCTGCATCTGCATGTCAGCATTCCCCAGCCCTGCGCAGGTCTGCTCCTTTGCCACATGCAAAGTGCTCCATCCTTCCATGTGCAGTCACAACCATGTGCTGTCCTGTGTCCAGCTGCCCGGCTTTGCATGCCATGCTCTGTGAGGCACAGCATGAGCCCCACAGGGCTTGGAAAGCACTCCTCAAGTACAGGATGGATACATGGTCCGAGTAGGCTGGAGGTGCTCAGTCAGCATGTCCACAGGCAAATGTGCAAATCTGGCTGCTCCAAGCCCCCAGGCCATGGCCTTCTAGTTAACCTTGTGCCTCAGGTTGTATGGTGTCAGGACCCTGAGCAGGTCTGCTACCTCCCCTCCCAGTCCTGGTGTCTCCTCATTACCATTTAGTGCTGTACACCCAAAGCCTGCACTTCCCCCTGACTTAGTGGCCTCCATGCTGGTGAAGGCCTGGGACCCAGTGCTATCCTGAGGGGGACACTGTGGACCCAGCCACGTCATTGCCCCCTGTTCCTCAGGAGCCTTGAATCTTCAGCTTTTGGTGTGTGCTATCTACAGGAGTTTGGGAGCAATCTCCAAGAGCAGGTCCCCTTTGGTGTCCACTGCAACTTGTTGGAGCAGGAAGACCAGATGGTCCTCCCTCTGCTTGCTGGACAGATAGTAGAAGGAGGAAGCTGGACTGTGTCCCCAGGTGCTGAGAGCCATTTCCATCAATGTACCTGACTTGGTTACCAGAGGGGCCCCTGGCATTTGGGGTTCCCCTCAGCCTGCCACTCTGAGCCTGACTCAGAGGAAAGGGCAAGAGTCAACGAGTTATCACATGGCCAGTTTCATTCTGGTGGGTTCTTGGAATTGACAGGGCTGGATTCGCATGTTTGCTTCATTGTAAATACCTGAGAACTTTGTTTAGGAGGATAAAAACCTTATCTTGATCAAAAAACAGATACCAGTTCCAAATAGCCCCCCCCCAACAAAATACCACCTGTCAAAGGCCACTTTATTGGATGTTAAGACACCCATGTGTGGTTTTAGTGTGTTTTAGAAACTCCTGAGACAACTCTTTTCTTAATCCTTCTTGTAATGGTTTAAATTCTGTCGTGCTTTGGGGCCTCCAGCTGGGAGTTTGTGACAGATGGGATGGTGGTTGTGTGCCAGCAGGACACTCCAAAATCAGAGACTCCTGCAGCTTTGGAGAGGTGGCCCTGCAGCGCCTGTTTACTCCTGCAAACCTGATGGGGGTGCACAAGCGAGCAGGCAGCCTGCCTGCAGGTGCCTTATCAGGAAAATCTGCACGGAGTCAAGGTCGTCTGCTCTGGGACTGACAAGCTGATGGGCCAGAGTACAGCCAGCCCAGGCAGCTGTGCTAGCCCAGACTTCCAGGGGTGGGCCCTCGGGTGCCTGCTGACGCGCCTGTGACCGCAACTGGGCTGCGTGGGTCATTTGAACACACCTCAGTCCTTGAGCAAGTGACAGGGAGGCACTGAGGGCTGCTTCCCCCTTCGTTCTGGCATCCTACTTGGTGGGCCTCTGTGCCCCCCAAACCTTCACAGGGGCTGGGTGGACTCAGATGGGGCTTGTCTTGGGGCCTGTTTTCAACAGCTGGGGACTGATGGCCTACGGGGAGTCACCAACATGTGGGTGTGAGGGCAGGAGTGAACTGCTCTCCTCTGGACAGGTAGGCCTGGTCCTCCTGCCAGAGGGAGGGGATGCCATGAGCACCCATGTGGCCCAGAGCCCGGGTCTTTGACAGCCATGGGGACACTCATCTGCAGCCAGTCCTCCTGGCCTCTCGGAGAAAGCCTGGCCTTCTCCAGTGCTAATGTCTCATCTCAGTGCCCTTGGGGAGTGAGTGACTTTGCCAGAAAGGAGTCTTCTGGATAACTTCCTTGTCAACTACCAAGCCAGTTAAATGCTTCACAAAGTGGCCCACTAGGAGCGTGTGTCCAGAGAGAGCACCCACCACACACCCACGTGTGGGCACTGGTCATCAGCAGCCAGGCATTGTGGGTGCCATTGAGTGGAGTTCCTTCCAGCAAGATGTGCTGTCCAGCTCCTCTCCCTTGCAACCCTAAATCCAGACTCACATCATCACCATTATCACAGCCCCTTCCTCCAGGCCCCTGGAGCACACAGGCCTTGCCATGTGTGGACGGAGGACACATGTGGTATTGGACTGAGCCCCAGACCGGAAGACTTAGGAGTGCAAGAACCAAGCCCTACATGCTCCCTACCTCTGCAGCGTCCCATGTCTCTGCTCTTGGCTTTGCACCTGCTGTCCCTTCTGCCAGGAGCAGCCTGCCTTCCTGGCTGTGATAATGGGGTGATGTCGGCAGAGCTCTATGAGGGTGACAGGCCCGCTGCTTTGCCTTAGCATTGCTGTGCTGTGCCATTCTCACGCCCTCTGCTGTTTCCCATCCACCTGTTTTATGTCATTCCTGCTTGAAAATGGTTGACAGACAGTCTTTCCCTTGCCTGTGGAGGAATCCTCTGCATGTTTGTGTGATGTTGCTCAGAAGCCCATAAGTCCTCAAAAGAAGGCCCTCTGTGGGCCCTAGGGGAGGTTACAGCATGATGGACGCTCTGAGCATTTGTGTACAAGTGTGTAGATGCGTATTTTCATTTCTCTTGGGTATATCCCTGGGAGTGGAATCGCTGGGTTAAGTGATAACTCTGTGTTAACCTTTTAAGAAATTGTTGTGTTCTCCACAGCAGCTGCCCCTGGTGTGCCCCTGCCAGCAGAGGGTGGCAAGGGTTCTGGAGATATTGCCCTTGCTGTTTTAGCCATTTTGGTGGGTGCATGGTATCCTCCTGTGAAACCAGCACCTCACTGATAACCAGTGGCCTGTCACGTGAGCACTGGTCACTTGCAGGCCTTCTTTCTGATCTCTGTCTTTAACCCAGTATCTTTAAACGCTGCCCCTCCAAGGGCCAGGCCAGGCCCAGGTCCCCCCATGGGGTGCACACACCTCATTCTCTGAATTTGGGTGGAGGCCTGAGAGGTGGACACTGATGGCAGCAAGAGGACCCAGACATCTCCCCGCTGTGTGGAGGAGGCTGGTGGGGACAGCAGGCACAGAGGTGGCTTTGGGCGTTGGTGGTTTGGGGGCTCTAAGGGGGTTTTGGTGACAAATTAGGGCCATGCTGTGGGATGATGTCTGCTACACAGAACATGGGGACTTGGGGCCCAAGATGGGCAAGAAAGAGAGGTGTGATCCTCTGCCTGGATCTGTGTCTTCCGAAAATTCTGCCAAAAGGCTAATCTTTGAATAGCTGACACTTAAAATACTTTGAAGTTTTTAGTATATTTTTCTATGACATTTGGAAATTCCTTCACTCTAAGCAAAGTGACAAACTGCTCTGAAGATGTGATGTGGGAGCTGGCAGGCCCTGGGCTCTGTCCTGCCATAGTGTTGCGGGGGGAGGGTACAGCATCACCTCATGAGCCTGCCTCCTGGCTGGTGATGCCCTTCCCTCAAGTCCGTCCTGCGGGGTGTCTCTGGGGCTGATTTGGGAGAACAGTAAGGAGCTGCCCATTGCCCATGTCTCTACTCTTGCCTCTTATGTACCTCTGGCCCTGGTGCTCATGCCATCTATGGAACTCATGTTGATCCTTCAAAACCCTGCTCTGGTGACCTTTCCTGTAATTTGCAGACATATATGCGTCTCCTCTCACCCACCTGAAAACACTTCCCTTACACTGTTCCTTATATAACTGGGAAGTGAGTCTTTGGATTTCTAGATATCTTTCTAACATTCTCCTATTTTACTTTTTTGCAGGATTCTGTTTCTCTGAGACTGTCAATTCGATTTCAAGGAAGTCAAGGGGTGAGTCTTTTTTGTCTTAATCGTATCGGCATTGTAGAACAGGAGTGCCCTCTGGCCCGTCATGGCTCACTGGACACAACAGCAGGCTGGGGACAATGTTTTGGCCCCATCGTCTCTGTGCCAGACCAGGCTTTGTGCCTCTGGATGCCCCAGGCTGGTCCTGCTGGGGCTGCACCAGCAGATCATCTTTCTTGTCCAGTAGTGCCTCCGAGTCCCCCATCTTTTTCTGTAGCCTGTGCACACCTGCCTCCTAGGCCCCAAAGCCCTGTTCCAACCCAATCCCTGTGCTGATTGGACACTGTGGCCCCAGAGCTCACGCAGGTATGGAGCTGTGGCCTCCCCAGGGTGGGGTGCTTGTCTCTGGGGTACTTGGTGGCCCCGGGACCATGGGTGTTTGGTTTTGGTACTGGCTGGTGTGTGTGTCAAGGGTGTTGTAAAAACTCAGCACCCCCATTTTTTCTGAAATGTATGTAATTCTAAATGACCATCTTATAGAAAGACTAGAGAGTGAAAGAAAGGCTGAGGTGTCCACAGTCCTTGACCCCCAGGTCTTAGGATCCCCATTTTCCCCACCCACCAAACATTTTTTGGAGCATTTTAGTTTTTTCTTCTAGTTTTCATTGCAAGTCTTTTATTATTATTATTATTACTATTATTATTTTTATTATTATCTGAAGAGTTGCCACATGTGTCTAAGTCATTTTCCATGTGACAGCTGGCAGGTCTTTATGGAACCTGGGAGATCTGAGCTTTTCACCCCAGCCAGGGTGCTCCAGTGAGGCAGAGGGTCCGGGGACTCCATGTGCCTGTGTGTGCACATAGGATACCAGGAGATTCATTGCAAGTCCTTGGCTCATACGTTTGTGGGGCTGGTGAGTCTGAAATTTCTGGTTCAGGCAGGAGCCGGCACTGTCAGCCACAGGCAAGCTTCCTCCTCCTCAGGAAGACCTCCGTTTCCTTTAGCTGAATGGGACCCACCCAGACCATTGAGGTCACCTCCTTTACTTAAAAGTCAGCCGGTTGTGGATGTCACCACGTCTACAGAACACCTCCGTGGCACACCCAGATTAATTTTTGCGGTCCTTTTCCAGCCTCCCCATTCTCTTCCCAGGTTGTTTCCCCAGGGGCGGAGGTCAGTGCTTAGGGGCAGGGCTGGCTGGGACTTGCTGCTAGGCTAGTCCTTTGTCGCCCTCTGGTGGCCTGTGGTCATGCTGTGTCCCTCAGCAGCTGGAAAGGGCCACAGAGATGGTGTTGCTCATCCAGTGAGCAATGCTTTCTGGTCTACAAGGCACCACGTGGCCCATCATAGAAACCACGGAAGTGCTGTGAGGTCCACCTGTGCCTGGGCCCTGTGCCACCCAAATTCTTGTGCAGAGCTTGAGAGCCACATCCGTTCAGGAGTAGAAGTCCCACTGCCTTACCTTTAGAATCATGCTTTGCCCACTTTTCCTTCCTTTTGGTTTTATGTGTAACAGAGTTTCTAGAAGGTTCTGAGGGCCTGGAAACCCTGTGCCGCAGCTCTGGGCAAGCCAGGCCATAATTCTCCATTATGAGGGCTGGAGGGAGGTATGTAGTGAAGCGGGCACGCTTCTTTCTGAGTTTGCTAAGAAGGGGCACCAGGACTGCCCCCCTGTGGCCTCTGGAGCAACTGGGTGTTGATGGGACATGTTTCCTTCTCCCTACTAACTGAGGGGCCTGGCCTGGTGCTGGGCGCACAGCAGGTACTTCCTTGCTGATCACCCAAACTGGATGCAGGAAGGAGGCAGGGCACCTTGGCTCTTACTTCCTCCTCCTGGTTGCTTCACTGCCTGTGCACAGCTTGGCCTGCATGTTCCTGAGAAGTGAGGAGGCAGGCTTTGCCTGCAAGGCTGGTTATGGAGCAGGAGGCCGGGGAGGAGGGGCGGGCAGATGGAGGAACAGGAGAGGGCCAGGGTGCTGGTAGACAGGCTCAGTCAGGCTCACAGCATGGGCTGAAGGATGTTTCAGACCCACTTCCCTAAGGCTTGTGAAGCTGATGGACCAAAGATTGAGACCCCCTCTGTAGGCTCCTGAGCTCAGGGATGTTGGCTAGTTCTCCCTCTGTCCCTAGTTTTCCTCCCTGCCCACCTCCAGGGTCATTTTCCCCCCCTACAGCCTGAAACGAACTCACTCAGCTCCTGTTGAGTGTCCCCTTAGATGTGAGTGACTTGCAGCTGGTGTAGGGTCTTGACGGCATTGTTCACATCATAGTGTGAGAGTCGGATTTGGCCCGGCACCTCCCCTCCCGTGCTGCCAGCACCATGAGAGTTAGGCCCATGGGGGAGGCCATGGTTTGCAGCCAGCTCTGGAGTTGCCTGGTTCCTTGGAGCAACTGCAGCATTTACCAGGTCCCCCAGAGAGCGCGGTGTTGTCACCTGAAGCAAAGTGCTTGTCTTTGCTGCATTGGTGCTCTCTGCCCTCTCATGAACACTGAGGTGACTGACCTGGGCCCCTCTGCTGTCTAGGGGCCACTCTGAGTTGTTAACCCCTGACAGCTGGTGAAGGGTCAGCCTCTAGAGAGGTAAAGAAGCTCCCACCTGGCCTCCCCCATCCTGAGACTCTGAAGTTGATGAAAAAAGGAAGGGAAGCAGGGGTGGGGTTCAGGGCCTCAGCATTCCCTGTGCTGTGGCTGGAGCCTGAGCTGCATTTTCTACAGTGAGGCCTGGCGGTGCTCTTCAAAGGTCCCTGACCCGAGTCTGTGCATCCAGGAACTGGCTCTGCAGAGCAGCTAGGGATGTACACAAGATCGAGCCACCAGGGGCTTGTCACTGTGTCATTTTTACCAGGGACAATTTGGAAACAGTCTGAAAAAAATCTCTAAAGTGGTTGGGGGGGTGGAATCTGGAGTGGTGCATGTGCCAAGGTTGAGCAGCTAGAGATCCAGGGAGGGCACGGGCAGGTGGGCGCGTCTGAGTCCGCGGTGAGCAAGAGTGCCTGAACAAAGTCGGCAGCAAGCGCCTGCGTGGGGGCAGGGGAAGCGAGGGCTTCGCTCTGGGTAGAAGGGGCCGCCTCGCTCTTGGGAGTAATGTTCCTTTGCATAGTAATCTCTTTACCCAGAACACATTTTATTCTAAGGACAGAAAGGGCTCCCAGGGGATGAAAATAATAAGAAAGCATTGTTCAAAACCCACCGGCCTGAGAGAACCTTGGTCAGTCAGATTACCATGTGCTTCCCCCAGGGGGCCTGGATTTGTCTCCTCCAAGCCCCCACCTGCCTGGAGGGGGCCGGGCCCCCACATGGGAGGGACTCTGGCAGGGACCCAACACCCCTGGTGGGCCTCAGCGGGGCAGCGACCATCTTGGAGGGGACGGCCTGTTAGCTGCTCACGGTGTCTCTGTGCACACAGACTTGTGTAGATTTATAGCGGTTCTCCTGCCCCCCATAACCTGGAGTGGGGCAGACTCACTCAGACCTGCCGTGCTCCAGCCACCTAAGGGCTACGTGGCAGCCTTGGGGGCTCCACTGAGATTCCCACACCTCAGAACTCTCTGCTGGCACAGAAATCCACGCATTCCTGGGCCATTCACGCCTAGCTGGCTGGCTTCCCTGCTGGTTACCAGTAACTGGGAACCATAAACCAACATCATTAATCAGGATTCTGCTGTGCTACAGAGCTGGGAATGCAAGAATCTGCCATGGGGCTCCCAGCAAACCTCCCGTCTCCCTCCTCCATCCCTCACCCAGTTGCCCCCCTCCGTTGCTGTCCAGCAGAACCCCAGAGCCCTCTGTGCATGCCTCCCCGCCACCAGCAGCACGAGACTCTCCTGAGCATCGGGTTCAGCCCTGGGTCCCCCACCATCCTCTGGCCCCAGTAGTTACACAAACCTGCCGCTGGACTCTGTGCTGGGCCCCCTGCTTCCAGGATGAATTTTGGAAGTGGGCACACATGCCTGTGTGGAGTAGGTGCCATACAGGTGAAAGGGGCACGGTGAAGAGTCTGTGCAGTGTCACCCCTGGAAGCAGAGGGTTCTGGAGGCCCATTCGTCCCCTTCACAGGCAGCAGCCCACGTATTGCAGTCCTCCCCAGCCTTCCTCAGTAGCCCTCAAGCCTTCATCCAGTGTGGGGCAGGCTGGGGTGTGGTGGCCTCTGGGCCCAGTGCTGTCCCACCTGCCCTGAGCCTGCACCTTGGGTAGGACCAGTGCTGTTCTTCTGTCTGCCAGCGGGCTGTCCGTCCATTCTCCCGGGAGGGCTGTGGCTTCTCCTAGCTGGGCAGCAGAAGCAGGGTCCAAAGTAAGGGTTACATATGCTGAGGTGTGTATCCTGTGTCACAGGCCATCAGGGAAGAGAGCTGCCTGCCTGCCACCCAGCCACATGGCAGCGAGCAGGCAGTCAGGGGGAGCTTGTGTCTCATGGGAGCGACTTCAGCATGCCCTGCTGGTTGCCCGTGCCCATCTTGTCTGTCTCATTCTTCAACATGGGTGTCCCAGGCCAGAACTGCCTTGTTTGGTGGGTGGGAAAACTGAGTCACAGCCCAGACCAGGGTCCCTGCCTCCAGGTGTGTGTCAGACCACAGTACCATGACTGCTGAGAAACCAGGCCCCCTTAGGAAGTGCGAGCATTTTCCAACTGTAAGTGTCAAGCTGTGGGGACGGGCTGGTCCCCTCTGTGCTGTGGACTCTCCCGTGATGTCCTGCTCTCTCTGCACAGCACATCTCCATCCCTCAGCCTGACTGTCCCTCAGAGGCACGGAACTTCTCCTTCTACCTTTCAAACATTGGCCGCGACAGCCCCCAGGGCAGCTTCGACTGCATCCAGCAATACGTCTCCAGGTGAGGACAGGCTGGTGCCTCTTCCCTCAGATGAGCCTTGCTGCCCCTTCAGGTGTACCCAGAGCGCAGGCACACGTCCTGGCATGCTGCCTCTGCCCTGGGGCCTGGGTGCCCTTGTTAAATTCAGGTCAGGATGAGCCCCGTGGAAACTGTGTTGCCCATGCAGTGTGTAGCCTGTTTCCCAGTTGTGGGTGGGTGGTGTGGGCCCCGAGACTGCCGCTCCCTGTCATCCCGGGTGTTTATCCCTGGCCCTTGTCTTACAGCAATGGGGACGTCCACCTGGACTGCCTGGGCAGCATCCAGGACAAAATCACAGTGTGTGCCACCGACGACTCCTATCAGAAGGCACGGCAGAGCATGGCTCAGGCTGAGGAGGAGACGCGGAGCCGCGGTGCCATTGTCATCAAGGCTGGAGGCCGCTACCTGGGTGAGGGTGGGACCTGAGGCTCCACCCCCAGGGGGCTCATGCCTGCAGGGTGCTGTCACAGGAGCAGGAAGGACTCAGGCCCCCTCTGGGCCTGGAGCTGGGGTGATGGATTGACAGAAGCGCATCCCCCGAGCATGGGGAGCCAGGTCAGCGTCAGGTCAAGAGGAAGGCCCTGCTGTGTAGGCTGGGGTATGGCATTTGCAGCCCTCCCCAGGGCAGGACCTAAGGATCCAGGAACCCGATTTGTGCGCCCCTCCTGGACTGCAGCCTTGGGGGCTCACCTGGCCGGGCAACAGACGCCCTCCATGAAGGCAGTACGTGCTCTGTGCTTCTTCGGTTGCAGGCCCTGCCCTCACCTGCCCCACTGGCTCCTCCTGAGGCCACGTGGCTGGGCTCAAGCACAGCCAGCCAGGCGCATCCCATAGTGGGCGGCCTCCTGCTGTGTTGGGGCCGGCAGGGCCCCTGAGTCACAGCCAGGAAGGAAACATGTTGAATTCCTGCTGGAAGGGAAGGTTTTGCAGCTCAGCTGTCACTGGGAAATCATTTCCGTGAAGCTGAGACATGATGACGTTAAAACTGTTGGTTCAGAAGGCCCATCGTCCTGCCGCACTCTCCGTGCCTCCTGGACCCAGACAGAGTTTGAGTCATCAGGATTCAGGGCTGGGGAAGGAGGGTGTTGGGCCTGAGAGGCATGAAGCAGCTTACAGCGATTACTTTTTAAAGAACAGGCAGGAGGATTTCAGTCCCCCAAAGAAGCATGTGATTTCACTTGCTTAGCAATGGGGTTGGCTCTGAACAATACCCCAGAATCAGTGCGGAGTCCTGGGTCTCTGGGTCCCAGGAGCTGTGCACACCCTGGGAGCCTGGCCCTGGGCTGTGTGACCCACCCCAGGGAGAGAGTCACTTGAGAGCAGCAGCCAGAATCCAAAAATGCTTCTGCCCCCTGGTCTTGCTTTGATTCAGATGTGGATGTCATACGCATTTTAGTATATTTCTGGGTCCTTTGGCCAAACACCTGGTCAAAAATTGGTCTTTTGATACCATTTTGAGTATAATGAGTATTTTTGTGATGGTGTACGTTCAGGTGGGAGCGCCCTTCTCCCAGCCTCTGGAGAGACGCAGGCTGCATCAAGCTCTCCCCCACCTCTGGCTGGCCCATCCTCTGGGGCTTCTGGGACCAAAGTTCGCAGAGTGACAAACAGGGAATGTTTTGGCCAAGGATTCAAGGCGTGCACTGAACTTAACTGGATCATTAATCAATGGGGTTGGCTCTGAACCAGGCGTGCTGGTTCTCCGGGCCTCTGACTTGGGTGGAGCCAGCGATTTCTGAGTGGAGGTACCTTCCCTCGGGCAGTGCTGGAGGCTCCAGGGAGGTCCCCGTGCACCGGGAGGGTGAGTGGTCGGCCCACTGTCCCTGGGAGCCAAGCACAGCTGCACCCCTGCAGAGCATGGCGGGGCTGTGGCTGGGGGCTGGGGGCACCCAGGCATCTCAGAGCGGCTGCCCAAATGGCCCTGACGCCTTCAGTCACCCTTCTTTTTTCATAAAAGAGAATGGCAGGCCTTTTGGGGCCAGCATGATGCTGTGAAGTGCAGGCTCTAGGGGTGCCTGCCTCTGGTCATTTGGGGCTCCCCACTTTCAATGTCACACCCTCTCCCTGTTGTGGTCAGGCTCCCACGGCCAGTTAAGACTCTAACCAAGTTTCTGTTGCCTGCATCTCCCTTCCACTTCTGAGATCAGGGCCATGCTGGCTGGTGTCTGTGTGTGATCTGCAGGTGGTGGTCTTGGATATCCAGGATTGGCTGTCTGGCCAGGCTAGAGCTGCCTTCCTCTTGGGCTTGATGGGAGTGTAGGGTTGTCGGCTATCAGTGGGCATCCATGTGCTCACTCAGGAACTGGGTGTTGACCCCAGGCAGCGGGACACAGCGGCCACCCACTCACCCCCGTCACTGACCCCTCCTAGTCCCCAATACCCCGGCTCTCCTTGCAGGCAAGAAGGTTCAGTTTCGGAAGCCGGCACCAGGGGCAACGGACGCTGCGCCCTCCCGGAAGCGGGCAACCCCCATCAACCTGGCGAATGCTATCAAGAAGAGCGGTGTTGGCAGCGTTGGTGGGAGTGGTGGGGTGTCACAGAGGCCTTTCCGTGACCGCGTGCTGCACCTCCTGGCACTGAGGCCCTACCGCAAGGCCGAGCTGCTGCTGCGGCTACAGAAGGATGGCCTGGCCCAGGCAGACAAGGATGCTCTGGACGGCCTTCTCCAGCAGGTTGGTGCTGCCCGGGGCCGGGCCAGGGGCTGGGGGCCAGGTGGCCTGCAAGTGGCCTTAGCAGAGGGTCTGGACATTGGGTGGGCTGGGAAGGGCCCACCTTGGGATATCTTCCTGGATTCACAGCCTGCCTCAGAACCTTGGCCTCCTGGGTTGAGGAGGTCACAGGCATGTTGCTGGGCATAGCACTCACCCAGGGGCCTGGGGTGGCTCAGAGTGAGGGCAGTGCCATTCTCCTGGCTGCCTACCAGCATGCAGGCAGCCAGCACAGCACAGGGGATCCAAGACTTGACTTGCATGAGTTTAGAATCTAAGGAAGCCTAGATAACCCACACATGTGAGTCAGCAAGAGCTCAGACCACGGTCAGGCGACCTCCCCGCCCCTCGCCAGCTGTGGTTCTGGGCAGGGCACTTCATGTCTGTACCCTCAGGCTTATATCTGTGGCAGGGGTGACTGCAGTCCCTCTCAAGGGTGTTCCAGGGCTGAGCCAGGGGAATGGGATGCCAGCAGGTAGAGCCTGCTATTAAGAGTGGCCCAGGCTTGGGAGCAAGAGTGGTGTGCCCAGCTGCCTTCCTGAAGGACCCAGGAGGCAGCCCAAGGACCCATGGGAAAGCTCTGCCATGTCAGGTGGGCCGTGCAGACACCTTGCCATGAAGTGGGACTGGGTCACCTTGGAGGCCTGCTGAGAAGACCACACGGCCAGCCACACTGTCACCCCAGCATCCCATTGGAGAACAGGGCCCTGTCACCAGCTAGCCCACCCGCCCTGCTTTCCACCTTAGGCACTCTTGGCATGCCAACAGTGCAAACCATGCACCATGAAGGTCAGCAGCTGTCTGAGGATGAGGCTGTGGTGCTCACCAGCGCCTCGCATTACCAGAACCCTGGCTACAGGGGCTCCTACAGCCACCTGCCAAGAGTCTTTACAGAGTTGGCCTCCTGAGCCCTCGTGTACCATCCAGAGGTTGTGCAAGTGAGGACTGAGCAGTGGTGTTTATCCCCGTGAGCTGCAGAGTTGCTTTGGTGTCTTTTAGAAGATAGATAGCAGCTTTGTGACCCAGAAGTTTTCTTTGGCAAAGGGGCTTGCCAAAGCGTCCAGAAAGCTCCAGAACCAGGAATGATGTCCTCAGGGGCTCATTGCTGGGGGAAGTCCCACGTGTCGCCCCCTGTCCTTGGGAACTCGAGGGAAGCACATGGGAGGCCCTTCCCCTGGGCAGGAGCCTGCACTCCGCCAAGGCATCCCATGTGAGCCAGGACAGAAGATGCTGGGGGGACCCGCTCCTGCCCTGGGTGTGCCTGTGGCCAGCCAAGCACCGTCAGCCCTGGGTGGCATTCTTAGAGATGCCCTTTCTCCTACACTCCCCTCTTGCCATGTTTGTGCCCAGAATAAAGAAGCACAAGCCCCTCAAACGCAGAATGTGAAACTCAGCTGACTGAGCACATGGTCACACCTGATATTGGCCCTTAGATGCAGCAGGAGCATTGGACTGAGTTCTCTGCAGACTCGGGGGGCCTCTGGTGCTGGCGTGGTTCTGCCTGGCCCATCTGCACCTGCCCCATTTGTGGTCCTCGGGATGCCCTCGTTGCTCCTAGCCCTTTCCCAGGACCAGAGAGGCACTGTGCTGGCTGCTGGCTTCTCTGGTCTACTCAGTGTGCCTGCCCCCCACCGAGGGCCTGCAGGCAGTGCGTTCTCCCTGTGCCTGCTTATTTCTCCAGAACAGCCACCTCTGCCTTGTGCTTATGTTTACTACCCAACTCATCCTCCCTAACAAGTATGGGGTGGCAGCAGGACCCCATCAACTGGGGGAAGGGGAAGGTCTTGGGGGATACTGGTCATTTCCAGCCTCCAAGTAACCAGGGACTCCGGTGAGCAACCCTGATGAAACTGTACTCCTCAAAGGCGCCTTCTCTGGAAACAGCCAAACCAAAGATTTAAGGCATCTGTTTCCACTGCTGGCTGGGCCTCAGAGACCCCCAGGCTCATCCTCTATGGGTGGGAGTGCTGACGGGTGGGGGCTCTTCTGGAGAGCATTTCAGCAAAACATATCAAGAGCCATAAAAATGTTCAGAGCCTTTGACCTACTAATCCTAGTTCTGGGAAGTTGGCTACGGAAAACCATCACCAGCATGGAAAACCTGCACACAGTGACATCTGTTTATGCTACAGAGAAGCTGGAAACAGTGTTAGCATCCAACCAAAGATAAATGTTTGAGTAAATCACCATGCGGCCACTCAGTGGAGTATTACTCAACCAATAAAAAAATGCTCTCTGGAAATCTCCGTGACATGGAGCCCTCTTAGAACCCAGCCATTGTGAAACACAGCAGTACAGTGCCAGCCGCACACCCATGTGCCAGAGGCCAGGGCACCCAGCGCCACAGTCACAGAATTGGCCACTGTGGGTCAGGGGCCTGAGCTTCAAGATTCCTTAAACCCATCTTTGCAAACAGTCTTGGAGATGAGCCCGTCCTTTGTTACCCAGCCAGAGAGGGCTGGCTGGTTGCAGGGAAGGTGGGCTCCGCCTGGCCCTGAAGGCACCCCCAGGCTCAGCCAGCTCTGCCGTGGTAGCTGCAAACCCAAGAGGGGGTTTCAGTCCACTGGGGCTGCTGTAACAGAAAACCATAGACCGGGTGACTGATCACACAGATGTTTACTACGTACCATTCTGAAGGCTAGAAGTTCTGAAAGTCAAGGCACCAGCTATTGAGTGTCCGGTGAGGTGGCTTCCTGCTTCACAGACAGCATCTTCTTGCTGTCGCCTCACAAGGCATAGGGACTGTGGAGCTCTCTGGATCCTCCTTTAAAATAAGGCCACTGATTCCCTCACAGGGCCTCTGCCCTCATGACTTAATCACTTCCCACAGGCCCCCACCTCCTGATACCTTCACATCAGGGGTTAGGATTTAATGTGAAATTTGGGAGAGGAAAACTCACAGTCCTTAGCAGGAGCAGGCTGGTGATGGGGTCCTGGGAGTGATGGCAGCTTCCCTGTTTGGAACCAGCCTGTCCTCCAGCAGCTGTAAGAAGTACATCTGAACCTGCTGCTCTGACCCTTCTGCACCCCGAGGCCCCTGAAGGGGTTAGGAGTGGGGGGGTGCTGTTGTCTGTCCGTCTAAGATTGCCTATGCTTCCCTCCGTGTGCCCCGCCACTTCCCCAGGCAGATGCTTTCAGGAATGCTCGCCTCTCCTGGGCTTCCTGCAAGGGGGTGCTGGCTCTGTCTTGCAGGTGGCCAACGTGAATGCCAAGGACGGCACGTGCACACTCCAGGACTGCATGTACAAAGGCGTGCAGAAGGACTGGCCCGGCTACTCAGAGGGGGACCAGCAGCTGCTGAAGCGGATGCTTGTCCGGTAATGCCACCTCCCCATCTCTGGGTGTGGCTGTGCATGGTCCGGAAGGCCACGGGCCCTCCAGCCGGGTGGAGGGGTCCATGGCAACTCTGTGGCTGTCTTTGTCTGCCTGGGTGGCCCACTGTGACCTCCTATGAGGGGAGAAACCAGCCTCTGCTTAGTGGTGTAAGGGCGTGAGTTGCTGTCCCCAACACCAGATCTCTGGGACAGGAGGCCTCAGTCCACCCAGATGTTGTGCTGCTTCCTTCCCCAACTTGTGCATCCATTCCTGAGGGCTTCCTTCTTAAAAAGAAGTTCTCACGGACTTGAAGCTGAGAGGAGCAAAGCCAAACACAACTCCCCACAGATCCGATTAAGCGGCATTAATTAAATACATCCCCGCCCAGATGCACTGGGACCCAGGTCCGGAGCCGCCAGGGCTGTGGGGAGGACTGGGTAAGTAGGCCCCTGGCTCAGGCAAGCAGTTAATGATTTCCTTCTCAGCTGATGCCTGACTTGGGAGCTCAGCCCTGAAGCACTGTTCAGAGCCTGCTGATCTGCTAATTAGTCCTTAAGTGATTTCTCAGGGACTTGGAGCTATTTATGAGGTGTGTTGTCTTTTTTTTCAATTCAGCCATTTAAAGCAGTAATTGCATCTGGAAAGCAGAGCAGGACTTGGGGCCTTTCTAGATGAACCCTGAGTTTCCTCCCCAGCTCTGCAGGGTGCTTATCCCCCAGCCAGAAGGCCTGGGGTCACTGCCCATCTGGAGGTCTCAGGGAGGCTGAGAGGAGATGGTCTCGGCAGAAGCCCCCGCATCCCATTTGTAGGGTTCTCTGTTGCCCCAGCTACACACAGCTCAGGCTGTCACTGTCACCTCCTGCAGGTGTTTTCGCTTGTCACACATTATTGGGCAAGGGGTCCAGTGTTGAAATGATTGGCTGCACCCACCCAAGAGCTTTTGATGTGGCGAGGCTGCTCCTACCCATCTTCTCTCCAAGCCTCTCACTAGGTGCTGGCTGTTCTTAGACCCCCATGGCCTTGCTCTGCACAGCTTTGTGTTCTTGTTTAGGTTGCTTTCTCCCCAAAGCAGTCCCCATTTATAGCAGTTCTTGAAGCTGTGCCCCCACAGCAAGAAGGAAAACCAGAGCCTTGGGTGTTTACATTGTTATAGGCGGGGCATGAGGCCAGCCTCACCCCAGGAGTTGTGCCACCTCCTTTACAGACAGATTGCTCTAAATTTGTACCTAAATTAAGCACCCTTGTGCTTCCAGGGTCTGCTGGAAGGTTTTGCTCTGCACAGAAATCCGATTACAGCATAGTTCTGATGCTTCCTGTTTGCTTCCAGTCCCCATGTGTGTAGCTGGTCTGTCCCAGGTGCTCCAGTGCAGGGTGAGGCCTTGGTGACTCCGCCCGTCCCTGGTCTTGGGCCCCTGGATCTGCGCTTGTCCTGGCCCCGCCTCCCCCCGGGGCAGCTGTCCAGGCCGAGTGCCTCACCTGGAGCCTCCTGTTTTGGGTCTCCAGTTCTGCCCCAGTGCTGACGGGACACAGCTTCTGAGGAAAGGGCTTTGGGAGGCCCATTTGCCATGTCCTCACACCCACAGGGAGGTCACGGTGAATTGGCCATTGACCAAGCCTAGGCTTTCAAACCCAAAGGAACTTTGCCTCCACGTTGAAGGCCTGGCCCTTTGCATGTCACATGGTCACAGGATGGTCTTGAAGCCTGAAAACATGCCTGATCATCCTTCCCCCACCTGTGCTGTCTCCTCATTGATATTTCTCTTTTCTGCTTTTTGGAGATTTCTTCGGCTTCTCCAATCCCTAGTCTTTCCAGTTGTGTTTTTTTGCAATGGGAATAATGTAATTTTTAGTCTATGCTGAGGATACTTTTTAACAATAACAGCTCTATTGAGGTACAGTTCACAACAAGTCCCCCATTTAAAGCAAACAATTCAGTGGCATTAATTACATTTACATGGTTGGGCAACAACTTGCCTCAGAACCTTGGCCTCCTGGGTTGAGGAGGTCACAGGCATGTTGCTGGGCATAGCACTCACCCAGGGGCCTGGGGTGGCTCAGAGTGAGGGCAGTGCCATTCTCCTGGCTGCCTACCAGCATGCAGGCAGCCAGCACAGCACAGGGGATCCAAGACTTGACTTGCATGAGTTTAGAATCTAAGGAAGCCTAGATAACCCACACATGTGAGTCAGCAAGAGCTCAGACCACGGTCAGGCGACCTCCCCGCCCCTCGCCAGCTGTGGTTCTGGGCAGGGCACTTCATGTCTGTACCCTCAGGCTTATATCTGTGGCAGGGGTGACTGCAGTCCCTCTCAAGGGTGTTCCAGGGCTGGCCAGGGGAATGGGATGCCAGCAGGTAGAGCCTGCTATTAAGAGTGGCCCAGGCTTGGGAGCAAGAGTGGTGTGCCCAGCTGCCTTCCTGAAGGACCCAGGAGGCAGCCCAAGGACCCATGGGAAAGCTCTGCCATGTCAGGTGGGCCGTGCAGACACCTTGCCATGAAGTGGGACTGGGTCACCTTGGAGGCCTGCTGAGAAGACCACACGGCCAGCCACACTGTCACCCCAGCATCCCATTGGAGAACAGGGCCCTGTCACCAGCTAGCCCACCCGCCCTGCTTTCCACCTTAGGCACTCTTGGCATGCCAACAGTGCAAACCATGCACCATGAAGGTCAGCAGCTGTCTGAGGATGAGGCTGTGGTGCTCACCAGCGCCTCGCATTACCAGAACCCTGGCTACAGGGGCTCCTACAGCCACCTGCCAAGAGTCTTTACAGAGTTGGCCTCCTGAGCCCTCGTGTACCATCCAGAGGTTGTGCAAGTGAGGACTGAGCAGTGGTGTTTATCCCCGTGAGCTGCAGAGTTGCTTTGGTGTCTTTTAGAAGATAGATAGCAGCTTTGTGACCCAGAAGTTTTCTTTGGCAAAGGGGCTTGCCAAAGCGTCCAGAAAGCTCCAGAACCAGGAATGATGTCCTCAGGGGCTCATTGCTGGGGGAAGTCCCACGTGTCGCCCCCTGTCCTTGGGAACTCGAGGGAAGCACATGGGAGGCCCTTCCCCTGGGCAGGAGCCTGCACTCCGCCAAGGCATCCCATGTGAGCCAGGACAGAAGATGCTGGGGGGACCCGCTCCTGCCCTGGGTGTGCCTGTGGCCAGCCAAGCACCGTCAGCCCTGGGTGGCATTCTTAGAGATGCCCTTTCTCCTACACTCCCCTCTTGCCATGTTTGTGCCCAGAATAAAGAAGCACAAGCCCCTCAAACGCAGAATGTGAAACTCAGCTGACTGAGCACATGGTCACACCTGATATTGGCCCTTAGATGCAGCAGGAGCATTGGACTGAGTTCTCTGCAGACTCGGGGGGCCTCTGGTGCTGGCGTGGTTCTGCCTGGCCCATCTGCACCTGCCCCATTTGTGGTCCTCGGGATGCCCTCGTTGCTCCTAGCCCTTTCCCAGGACCAGAGAGGCACTGTGCTGGCTGCTGGCTTCTCTGGTCTACTCAGTGTGCCTGCCCCCCACCGAGGGCCTGCAGGCAGTGCGTTCTCCCTGTGCCTGCTTATTTCTCCAGAACAGCCACCTCTGCCTTGTGCTTATGTTTACTACCCAACTCATCCTCCCTAACAAGTATGGGGTGGCAGCAGGACCCCATCAACTGGGGGAAGGGGAAGGTCTTGGGGGATACTGGTCATTTCCAGCCTCCAAGTAACCAGGGACTCCGGTGAGCAACCCTGATGAAACTGTACTCCTCAAAGGCGCCTTCTCTGGAAACAGCCAAACCAAAGATTTAAGGCATCTGTTTCCACTGCTGGCTGGGCCTCAGAGACCCCCAGGCTCATCCTCTATGGGTGGGAGTGCTGACGGGTGGGGGCTCTTCTGGAGAGCATTTCAGCAAAACATATCAAGAGCCATAAAAATGTTCAGAGCCTTTGACCTACTAATCCTAGTTCTGGGAAGTTGGCTACGGAAAACCATCACCAGCATGGAAAACCTGCACACAGTGACATCTGTTTATGCTACAGAGAAGCTGGAAACAGTGTTAGCATCCAACCAAAGATAAATGTTTGAGTAAATCACCATGCGGCCACTCAGTGGAGTATTACTCAACCAATAAAAAAATGCTCTCTGGAAATCTCCGTGACATGGAGCCCTCTTAGAACCCAGCCATTGTGAAACACAGCAGTACAGTGCCAGCCGCACACCCATGTGCCAGAGGCCAGGGCACCCAGCGCCACAGTCACAGAATTGGCCACTGTGGGTCAGGGGCCTGAGCTTCAAGATTCCTTAAACCCATCTTTGCAAACAGTCTTGGAGATGAGCCCGTCCTTTGTTACCCAGCCAGAGAGGGCTGGCTGGTTGCAGGGAAGGTGGGCTCCGCCTGGCCCTGAAGGCACCCCCAGGCTCAGCCAGCTCTGCCGTGGTAGCTGCAAACCCAAGAGGGGGTTTCAGTCCACTGGGGCTGCTGTAACAGAAAACCATAGACCGGGTGACTGATCACACAGATGTTTACTACGTACCATTCTGAAGGCTAGAAGTTCTGAAAGTCAAGGCACCAGCTATTGAGTGTCCGGTGAGGTGGCTTCCTGCTTCACAGACAGCATCTTCTTGCTGTCGCCTCACAAGGCATAGGGACTGTGGAGCTCTCTGGATCCTCCTTTAAAATAAGGCCACTGATTCCCTCACAGGGCCTCTGCCCTCATGACTTAATCACTTCCCACAGGCCCCCACCTCCTGATACCTTCACATCAGGGGTTAGGATTTAATGTGAAATTTGGGAGAGGAAAACTCACAGTCCTTAGCAGGAGCAGGCTGGTGATGGGGTCCTGGGAGTGATGGCAGCTTCCCTGTTTGGAACCAGCCTGTCCTCCAGCAGCTGTAAGAAGTACATCTGAACCTGCTGCTCTGACCCTTCTGCACCCCGAGGCCCCTGAAGGGGTTAGGAGTGGGGGGGTGCTGTTGTCTGTCCGTCTAAGATTGCCTATGCTTCCCTCCGTGTGCCCCGCCACTTCCCCAGGCAGATGCTTTCAGGAATGCTCGCCTCTCCTGGGCTTCCTGCAAGGGGGTGCTGGCTCTGTCTTGCAGGTGGCCAACGTGAATGCCAAGGACGGCACGTGCACACTCCAGGACTGCATGTACAAAGGCGTGCAGAAGGACTGGCCCGGCTACTCAGAGGGGGACCAGCAGCTGCTGAAGCGGATGCTTGTCCGGTAATGCCACCTCCCCATCTCTGGGTGTGGCTGTGCATGGTCCGGAAGGCCACGGGCCCTCCAGCCGGGTGGAGGGGTCCATGGCAACTCTGTGGCTGTCTTTGTCTGCCTGGGTGGCCCACTGTGACCTCCTATGAGGGGAGAAACCAGCCTCTGCTTAGTGGTGTAAGGGCGTGAGTTGCTGTCCCCAACACCAGATCTCTGGGACAGGAGGCCTCAGTCCACCCAGATGTTGTGCTGCTTCCTTCCCCAACTTGTGCATCCATTCCTGAGGGCTTCCTTCTTAAAAAGAAGTTCTCACGGACTTGAA